TTATAATGTCTTGGGTACAGAAGCTATATCTGAAACAGATGAAGCAATCAATTTTGAAGATGAATTAACCATGTTGAGTTTACGGAAAGAGAAAGAAATGGAAGATGGGGAAATTGTTGAAGAGAAGACTACGAAAGAAAATGATAAAACTGAAAAAGAAAAAAAAGACGAAAAGAAACAAAAGAAAAAGGAAAAGAAAGAAAAAAGCAAAGAAACAGAAAAGAATAAAGAAAATATTGCTTCAGAAAATCAAGTAGCCTGGAAGAAACTTTCAAAAAGTACGAAAGAGAGGTCTTACAGAGATAAAGAAAAGAGATCAAAATCGAAGGAAAGAGAAAAATTAAAGAAAAAGAAAGAAGTGGTAAAAAAGAAAGAAAAAAGGAAAGAGTTACCCAGATATGATGTTAGAAAAATAGTTGCTGAAAGACCTTCAAGACCTAGAAAAGATGAATACGGAAGAGATATCAGAGAAAAATCGAGACAGAGAAGTAGATCTAGAAGTTGTAGTTCATCCAAACGTTCTAGATCGTATTCCAAGCTCCGTTCAAGAAGCAGGTCTAGAACTAGATTACAAAGATCGTGGTCTAGAGATCGTAGATCTTATTCTAAATCTCTTTCCAGGCGACGATCTCTTTCACGTGGAAGACGTAAATCTCCAAAAAGAAGATCAGCTTCTAGAAGAAGATCTTCCTCGCGAAAACGATCCATATCTAGAAGAAGATCGAGATCTGTTTCTCGAAAACGAAGATCCTTATCAAGAAGAAGATCCAAAAGATCGATCTCTAGATCAAGAAGGTCTTTGTCAAGATCAAGACAAAGAAGATCTGTATCAAGATCCAGAAGATCTTTATCCAGATCTCGCGATAGACGTAAAGACAAGAAAAAGTACAAGTCTCGAAGTCGGTCGAGAAACAGGAAGAAGTCCCGTTCGAAATCGCCTAGAAAATCTTCGAAATCCAGAGAGAGAAAGCATTCAAAGAGAAAAGCGCAAAGCAGATCAAGGTCAAAAGGAAGATCTTGTTCTAGAAATTGGGAACAAGTTGATAAAATCGTAGAACAAGAGTTCTCTAGGGAAAGAGAAGAAAGAGAATCTTGGAGTGCACAATGGACACCATCTTGGTCGAGATCTAGATCAAAAACACCACAACACGTACAACAAGAACCAATTACTTCTAGAGAATGGTCTCCAATGTTGGATAACGTTTCTGTTCCACCAAAAAATCTAACTGTAATTTTAACAAACAAGGAAGCTATTAAGAAAAAGAAAAAAGAACGGAAAAAGGAAAACAAGAAAACAAAAGATGAAAAGAAGAGAAAGGGAAAGAGAAACAGGACTCCTCCACCGTCAAAAGAAGTTTTTGCCAGTGGGGATAATATCTTGGTTAGTGTGTGTTTCAATAAAGATAATAATGAGAACGATCAAACAGGAGTACCAGAACTTCCAGAAACGATCCCGCTAATTCCTCCTCTAAAACGACGCCGTAGAGAATCACTTCAAGCTGATCCGCCAAAACGATCGAAAAAGGAAAAGTCAAAGGACAAACGGTCTAAATCTCCAAAACCTAAGAAGGATAAAAAGAAAAAATCGAAAGCAGCTGAAATAGCAGCCACGAAGAAACCAGTCGCGGTAATTGATTTGGACCAGTCCCCATTCCGGGAACAAACTCCATCTCCTAGAGATGTAATAGTTCTTAGCGATGATGACGATAAACAAATTCAACAAATTATGCCGGATCAATGTCAACCATCTCAAAATTCTCCGCCACGAGAACAATTTATTTCTCAGGGTCCAAAAACTCCACCGGAGCCTCAAATAAAATTCTCAATAAACAAGCAGGGCAGTAACTTACGGCCATCAATGTTAAATCCACTCTTAGATGAGGAAGAGGAGGAAGAAATGGATGAAAGGGTCGAAGAAGAATTAGAAATGAGAGCACAAGAGGAATTAGAATTAAGATTAAAAATTGGACCAAATACTCCTCCGGAACCTCCAACATCTCCACCAACTAGTCCAGATGCATATGATCCATTTGATCCAACAAAATCCAGATCGCCGACACCTGATGTAAGTCAAGAGGCAAATTCCAGCGATGAAAGGGGGAGATCCCCGAGGAAACACGATTCTGCGGACGGCAATATTCTTGAAGAGGAAAATTTGCAGAGCCAAGAAAGGCAGAGTCAAGAAAAGCAACTAGAGAAACCGAAGATTATCTCTATGGTTACGATCAAGAGAGCTTCTCCGCAAAGGGATGACGTTAACGATAATGAAAACAATAAGGATACGGCAGTCTCAACTGGAAATTTAGAGGTACAGCAGAGTCAACAAAACGTGCAAAGTCAAAATAATCCTTTCGCGGTGATGAATCCTGTACTAGCTACAGTAGCTGCAGCAGTACAGAGAAGTGGAGTATTCAATGCGTCAAATTCGAATAGTAATCAACGTAACTTGTTACAGTCAAACCGAATTTCACCGAGTAATCAGCAAAAACAACGTTCTGGCGATCGTTCGCAGGCACCTCCGGCTTTTACGAATTCAGGAAAATCCTCAAGAAGTTCAAAGTCCGGACAGACGAAAACCAATGGACAAAATGGAAATGATACTTGCGCAGAAGCAGCGGACAATGTGGATATGTCTTCTCCTTATTCGCCTGGATCGACGCTTAGCGATGGAATTTTCGATCCTCCGAGCCCTACGAACTATAACAATTCACCAGGTGCTGGTACAGGGAGTGGAACAGCACCTGTTGGATCTCAACCTACGAAAACCAATAATTCAAAAACGGTAAAGTCCACCGAGAAAAAAGATGCTTTCGATGCTCTTTTTGGTGCTTTACCAGTCAGTAAAACTACCACTAAATCGAGTAGAAATAAAAAACCTCCGAAAGATAAGAAAAAGAAGACGACGAATCCAAAAGTCGGTGTTAGAATGGATGAAAACCAACTTCAAATATTGGATGATCTTCCAAGTTCTGCGGTTGAAATGCAAGTCAAGGATAAGGTTTGAATTTCATGCAAATTCACTTTACTTTTTCATTTATTTATTTCATTTAATATTTTAAATATAAAGATAAACATAAATATTTATTAAAATTACAAGAAAATATTAACATATAATAATTAAAATAATAATTTAATATGATTGAATAAATCATATTAAAATATTTTATAATTAATTATTATAAATTAAATAATAAACTAAATAAAAACTAAAAAATTATTTTACAATATACATTTCTAATTATATTATGTTTAATTATCTTGCAGTTCCTAAAGAAATTAAATCGTCAAGAACGAGTAGTCGAAGAAGTTAAGTTAGTTCTGAAACCACATTATACAAAGAAACACGTAACAAAAGAGGAGTACAAGGATATTATGCGGAAAGCAGTACCTAAGGTATATATAATAAATGTAATATATACAATAAAAACTATATATATAACTATATATATAATAGTAAAATCTATTTTTATGCTAAGTACGAGTTTCATTGCCTTAACCAATTTTACAGTAATTACTGTAAAATTTCATTTTGTTCGTTTGGTAGATATGTCATAATAAAACGGGAGAAATCAACCCAAAAAAGATTGCCCACTTAATAGAAGCTTATGTCAGGAAATGCAGAAGTAGCAAAAAGAAAACTACTGAGAGTTCCTCTGTGAAGGCCTCTAAATCAGCGTAAGTAAATATGAACTAAAACTATTTAAAGTTTAAAGAATATTTTATTACTTCCATATTTTTTAATAAATCTTTATATTCTTCTATATTTAATAAATCTATCATATATCATAATTTTTTATTATCATTAATAAAATTGTATTTTAGTAAAATTTTTATTACATTTTTTCCATTTTTTAATTAGAATAAAAATAAAATGTTTTTATATTATTTTGTATTCAAGTGAAACGAAAATACAAAAAAACCATGTAAATCATTGTAACTTAAACAAATTAATATTTATCTGTTGTAGAAAAATTTTGTGGAGTTGATCACGAGTCAGCTAGGTGTCTGTTCAATTCCTTTCAATTTTATAGTTCAGATGATCGTCGTGCTCGATGAGCGGTGAGTGAGCTTTGAGACAGCTAATCTCCTCTTCGATGATGCGATGTACGTTGTATTCTCTGTAAATACGTAATTAATTCATTTATTAACCGATTGGTTGATTGGTCAATTGATTGCTTGCTAAATTAATTGATTGATCGATTAACTTTTAAGAATACCATTTATTATTTATATAAACAATACCCTTCGTTTCATCAGGGAGTCCAATTGTCTCTACGGAAGATCCATGATTCATACAATGTTAAATTAAATTTTGGTCTAATTTAAAAAATTTTAAAAACTATAATTTATATTTATTTGAATATTTAATTACAAAACTAATACATTTCCCATATAAATTGCAAACAATGTAGATCTTTGTTTGCATTTTTCTGAGTTATTATGTACATTTCAAATGAATGCAATTGACAATCTAAATCATCAAATATTTATTTTCTTTTTTTTACTTCGTATCATAAATTTTCTGTTATTTGTATCTGTTATTTGTATCTATTTTTAAAAAAATTTCATACTAAGAAAGATTATTACTCGTTTCTACTAAAGTTTGCAGTATTGTTGAAATGAATGAGTATCAAAACTTGTACAGTTAAAATTTTATGGAAAAAGAAGTATAACAAATTTTATATGAATATTTATGCTATTATGAGAAACATTAATAATAACATTACTCTTCATGGCACCAAAATAGTTATTTACATAAATAAATATTTATTAATACTGCAAACAACACTTTAATAATTATTTATTCAAATAATTGAATATTAGTTATTATTATTTAATAGAAATTATTTGTGATACATATATTGATTAATATATAAAATATGTCTAGCGAAGAACATAACTAAACTAATAACGATGAAAAATTGTCGACAGTTTAAACTTTTAACTTTGTAAAAGAAAATCATATAACAATCCTAAGTCCGTTTTTTTTTCCTCCAAAGATGACTTTACATCATGTAACGAATAGGAAAATAATTTTCCTGAAAATTGAAAAAATTCAAAATTCAAAGAGTTGTAAAGATGAGACTTCAATCTTCAAAATTATTGTATCGCGAATTATAGTCATTTTTTTTATGAAGTTATAACAATTTAATTTATTGATAATTTTTCATCGTTATTGATTCAATTATACTTCTCACCGTATATCATAAATTGATATTTTTGGCTTTTCCGCAGAGACTGTCATTTTCATATTTCTTAATATACGTGTAAAAATGCTTAAATGCCACGATTCAAACGTACATATTGTAATTTGATTCTTAATACAGAGTTGGACATTATTCGAATAAATTATTATTATCATTACTATCATTATTGTTATTACCATTATATCTATTATTATTAATAATAATGTTACCACATTGTTATTATTACTTTATGTATTATTAATGTTTAGATAATTGCTTAATTTTAATTCAAATTATTTTTCGTTTTTTCCTGAGTCCACTGAAGATAGGTAAAAAATACTGGTTGAAATTTATTCGAATAAATACACAGTCTAATTTTGTTTCTGTTAAAAATATTTTAAATATTTGTGTTAAAACTAGTATAAGATTAAAATAAAATTAATTTAACGTTGATAAAAAATATGAATCGAAGAATTGAATAGACATAAAGATTAATTTCATTATTCAGTAACTGATCGTTAAAAAAATTTATTTATAAAGTATATCAATTAAAAACAAAATGAAAATAAAAAGAATTTGTATACACGCAATATTTTATGACACGTCATTTAAAATTATTATAATACAAAATTATTAAATTTCTGTACCGATTAATGTTTTTGAAATGTTTTTGAAAAAATGCTATACAAACAAAGGCATTCATTTGGAAAAATATAATAGAACCAGAAATAAGTAAATAAATATTTGAAAAAACATCTTATTTAAATATTTTACTCATTGATTATTATTCGAATAAAAATTGTCCAACTCTAATGTTGTATAGCCATAAAACGTGTGTGGGTATGAGAGAGATAGAATGAATGAGAATTAACCATAAGATTCTCTCTTTAAAATTGTGAAATAAGGATTTTAAAAGATACTGCTCAACGTACATAAAAATCCGATTTAGCCAATCATGTTCAAGCATATTTCTCTGAAAGCGATCGGATAATGTTCGATTCTTTTCAATACTTTAACAATGAAAAAATAAATATGTATTTAAAGAAAATTGCGTTTTTTATGCTTAATACAATGTAAAAAACATCATCCAAAACTTGTTACACTTGTATTTTTTAAATTCTTTAAGATTTAAGCAAAATAGCACAAATTGAAAGATAATTCGTTTGCCAGAATTTACATTAAAATATTCTGTAGAAACTGAAATCAATTAGAGAAATCAATATAGTATCAATGAAATTTTCAAACCCAAAATTTATCTATCTGTGATTATCATTTGGAGCACCGTCTACTGCCACTCATCTAATTATTTCAAACATTTAATTTAACTTAATCAACAAAAGAAAAAATAAATTATCTAAGTCAGTTAACTTTTAATAAAAACAAAATGTCTTTCAATTAAATTGATTTATTATCTTTATTTTTTAAAACATCTATTGTTTCATAAATTTTGTTATTATCCAATTCTTGTTGTTACTATCCAATTCTAATTGTTGTTACTATCCAAACATTTGTTTAAATTAACTATTTAACAATATTATATTTAGATTATTTAATCTACTGCCTAAAAAAAAGATAGTTTAGATGAATATTATATCCTTATCATATAATATATTAGTAACATTATATGTATCATACTCTATATTATAGACTTAGTTTCATACAAATATGAATATCAAGTCCAAATGTATTACAAGGTTAAAATAAGCAGGAAGTGTACTTAATTTGTCACATCCAACAATTAATCGCTATATGTGTACATAAAAATCCTTATCTACACCTAACAAAAATTCCGCAGTAGCAAAATTGAATTGTGTTCACGTTGAAGTCAAATTTGAATTGCCTCAAATTATAGAATATCGATATCTATTGTTATTTCAAATATCTTAGAAACTCGTATAATAATTACGCTAAAGCTCCAGAAAATACTCACAGAGGATAATTATCATAAATTTGTGATATTGTACATAATAATAAATGGATATTAAAATGCCAAGAAGAAAAAAAACATTAGTGTTTTCAAAATTATGTACTAAATGTGAAAGAATCGAACAAAGTATCCCTCAGTCATAAAATTTTTATACTTTTTATCGTTTACAATCAGGAATTAGATACAATATAAAAAATTGAACTTGCTTAATAATTGATGATACCCAAAATTTGAATGATTATGGATACAGTTTGTGACAAAGTAAGACGAATGCTTGCGTATGCGTGTGGAATTTTTTGTACTAAATAATGATGTATATACAATGAAGGGAGAAATAAAGAATTTAATATTATCGAAAAAAAATTGAGTAATTGAAATTTAAATTGGTTGGATCTCTAGGGGACCAAAGATTATATTTAAACTTTTGTTTTTTTTTTTTTTGTTTTTGATAGTATGATAGATTTTGATGAGCTGAAATCAAAAATGTAAATTTCAATTTTGAATAATTCTGGATGTAGTATCATTTCCTGCGTTACCGATACAGCATTATCTTTCTATTAAAACAGATGAGGTATATGAATATATATACGTATACCTTGCTGTGCTATTATCATTGACTAAGAATAGGATAGACTGGACAATAAATGCTTTTTCGTGTTCCATGTTTTGGAATGTTGGGACGTGTTCCATGTTGGGAATTTGATCCCATTTTAATGTCACATTTTACTATATCGATTTAGGCAAATTTTGCACCGTAGCGCTACTAAATTTTAACTAATAATTTATAACAATCGACTTGAATAATGTATTTAAAACAAATGACGTGAATTATTGAATGAAATAATTAATTTAATTGTTTAATCATAATAGAAAGATTGCGAAAATTATATTAAATAATATTTAAAAATGTTATTGAAATAAAATAATTTAATTATTTTAAATAAATTATTCAATAACTATAAAATAATGTATTTCTATGATATTTTTGTCTCCCTGAAGTAGAAACTTAACTTCTAATTAAATTTGAATGATATTAATTATTAAAAATATCTTTCTTGTTCATTTTAAATAATCTCCTAATTTTATTATAATATATTCTTTATTTACAATATTGATTAATAAAAGATTTGTAGAAAAAATTTGTATACTTTTATAAATATAAATAAAAAATATGTATACAAAAATAGCAGTATTTTTAATTGTTGATTTATGAATGTATATAAAAAGTCATTTTTACTAAAATATTTTAAAATCTTTAAAAAGTAATAAAATATAAATATAAATATGTGCTATGTGTGTATGCGAATATGCGTGCGTGTGCACGCATTTACATTGATACAAATAATTTACGTTTATATTATAAAGAAAAAATAATAATTTCAAAATAATAATTTGAAAACAATATTTTTCTGATAAATAACTTTAAATGATTTTGGATAAAAGTATTTTCAAGAAAAATTGGAGATCAGTAGAATACCGATGACATTTACGGATGGTCTTGAAAAAAGCGAAGTGACATTTCAATTAAAAGAATTGCCTTATTACAATAAGATTTTATAGAATATATATAAAGAATTTCGAGAAATGTTTATGGTTTTTTTTCGCAGAAATTATATATCTTTTTATAACCTTTCACGAGTAAGTAGTAAGTATGCGCTTTTGCTAAAATATTAAGGTTAAGTTCGTAAAAACATCGAAATTTAATACAAATGCTTTTAAAACAAAATTTTACTTTATTTAATTTCACTTTACTTGAAAGAAAAATTTTACATAAAATATATATATTTACGCGTTCCTCTGGCTTTGGTCCTACAGCCAGGGTTAATAAATGTATAAACGTAATGTGAGGGACGCATCCCTGGCCAGTACCGTTAGGCCCATAAAATAATTGCAAATATTATTATTTTATGGGACTGATTTTGTCCAATAATGCCTCTTAACCGAAAATGACTTACCTTCTCAATCATATGATCGGGAAGAAAGACACAAAAAAAAACCAACCTTGTATAAGACATTGCATATAATTTTCCTTAGTTCACGCTAATATTTATATTATAATTTGACCACCTTCCGCATCGTCAGCGGACAGTAACACTTCTTCGCGTCAGTCTTTATCATCTTCGCATCTGAAATCCTAAATTTAATAAATATATTCATTACAACAAATGTTTTATTTATAATTTTTATAAGGTGTATAAAACTTGGGTTGCTACGATGAAGAATGAAATACCACTAAGTAGGCCTGATCCTATAATTAAAAAGTTGAATGATCCATTATTTCACTCCATATTTACACCAGAACTTAACACCTTAGCACAAATATTTAAAAAGCATAATTATGAACTAAAAATTGCCGGCGGTGCAGTCAGAGATATTTTAATGGATATAAAACCAATAGATTTGGATTTTGCAACAGATGCTACCCCACAGGAAATGAAAAACATGTTTGAAGAAGAAAATATTAGAATGATCAATAATAATGGAGAAAAGCATGGTATATCGAAATATATATTAACCTTTTTTGTTATTGTTATATTTTGATGTACTTAAAATCATTTTGTGGAAATTATTTCAGGTACAATTACCTCAAGAATAAATGATAAAGTAAATTTTGAGATCACAACACTTAGAATTGACACACATACTAATGGCAGGCATGCAGAAGTTAAATTTACAAAAGATTGGAAACTAGACGCTCTTCGTAGAGATCTTACAATAAATTCTATGTTTCTTGATTTAGAAGGAAATATATGTGATTATTTCTTTGGTTATGATGATTTAATGAAACGAAGAGTTATATTTGTAGGAAATCCAGTACATAGAATTAAGGAAGATTATCTACGAATCTTGAGGTATTTCTTGATTAGTAGTCTTATTTTCATATATTTAATAATATATAGGTTTGCAAGTTAGATAAATTAGTACTGAAACTAAATTGTATTTAATATTCAATTGCGTAAAATTTAAATTTTGCAGATATTTTCGATTTTATGGAAAAATTTCAGACCAACCAGATGCTCATGATGAATATATTATAACAACAATAAAAGAAAATATACATGGATTGAAAATAATATCTGGAGAAAGAATTTGGAGTGAATGGTCAAAAATCCTTTCTGGAAATTATGTTAAAGAAATAACATTTAAAATGTTAGAATGTGGTATTGCAAGGTAATAATAAATTAAAAAGTAAAGAAATAAACTTAATGTAATGTATTTAATAATTTTTAATTTCAGATACGTAGGACTTCCAGAAAACCCAAATATAGAAAAGTTTGAGATTATTTGCAATATATCTAAAAAAAATAACATTTCTTTACAGCCGATTACTTTTCTTGCTGTAATGTTAAAAAATGAAAGTGAAGTATTTGAGCTTCATCGTAGATTAAAATTATCTGCATATGATAGAGATTTAGCATTATTTTTAATTTCATTCTGGGAAGATAAACCTTCAGTAGATCTTTTAAAATTTTATAAAAGAATTCTTATTCATTGGAAAGGAAATGTTGTTAATGCAAAAGAATATATTTGTGAATTATTAAAATGTAAACAATATTTTGATCTTGCTGATGATATAAAAAACTTAATAATACCAAGGTAACAGTTGACTTTAAAATTATAATGAAAAATATGTTAAGATATAAATATTTTGCATTTTTTTATTGATTATAAAAAACAAAATTAATAATACATATATTTTATTGATAATATATTCTATTTTTTATATATTAATATATAATGTGTAAAATATATTAATATAATATTATATATAATGTATATTAATCAATTATATATATGTAAATTATATATAATGTATATTAATCAATTATATATATTGTTATAATAATAATAGATTTTACATATTAAATTATACACAACATTCAATACCATTAAATAATTCAAGATTATAATATTGTTATTATTGCTCTAACTATTATGAAATATTTTCTTATATATTTTTTAATGTATTTTCAGATTTCCAGTTAATGGAAACATGTTAAAATCATATGTAGAAAGGGGAAGAATGATGGGTATTGTTATTAAAGAATTAAAAAATATTTGGTTGGACAAAAATTTTGAAATAAGTGCAGAAGAATTACTGCAAGAGGTTCCACGAATTGTTAGTGAATTGGAAGATAATAACTCAGAGAAACATGTGTTTTTAAATAAATAAACTTTAATATTATATATATTTCACTTTTTTAATGATCTCAAAATTACTAATTAATAGTATATAATTTTACAAAGGGATAAAATAAAGGAAAAACAATTATACATTTCTAACAATGTATAATGTTATAAAAATATATATATAAAATTTTTTAACAGTATAAGACACATTTATTTTTAAGAGCATCACATATTTATAGTAGATTGCAATTCCTTAGAATTTATTTACATAGTAAATGCACGTGAAAAAATTTGCAGACTCATCAAAATACAATACAAGATTCGTTTGATTAGCCTTTTATTATACAATAAAGCCTTGATTATTTGACATTTATTTGAAATTAATTCGAATTTGAATTTTGAAATCACTAATACTTTATATTTTAATTTAAAATTTTGAAATTTTCTAATTAAAAAATAAAGGAATTTATTATTTTTTTTCTTAAACTTAAATTCAATAAATATAAAATTTTGTAGTGAATTGAATAATTAAGGTTTCAGTATATTTTTCATTTGAAAAAAATAAAAATCTTAATCATGCCTGATAGTGCTTCAAATACAATTTTAAAATATTGAGTATTAAATGCTGCAGATTTTGATTAATTTTGATTAAAAAAATTTTTCAAGCATGAATTTAAAGATAAATTTTTATACTAATTTCACGTGAACACATTACCAATTCGATTTTCATAATTTTACATTATAAACTTATTATGAACTTATTAACTACCATTCCGCATCACCGTTCATTTTCTGAAAAACATAATCTTTACCGCTAAGGTTCATTATTCCGTCTTTGAGGTAGAATTTCCATTTATTTCTACTCCTTGTTATCTGAAAATCGGTTTCTCATTTATTCAATGTTAATTTTTGAATTTTAATCAATAAATTCTTAAAACTTTTTTTTATTTGCCAAAATAATGTATTACAACAAATTATTAAATACCTTGTCATATTGACATACGACAACATTATCAGTATCAAAAAGATCTGCTGGATCATCATCTGTTACATCATCTTCTGAATTCAACGGTTCCTATGAAATAATAGTCATATTATTAAATTTTATAATAAATTTATATTTACAAGTAAATATACAAATGATATTTCAAATACCTCTTCTCTTGTTGCAGCTTCATCATTTTCTTCTTCTTCTTTGTCATCAAGATCTTCTTCTTCATCTTCATTATCCTCTTCTTCTTCCTCTTCGTCATCATCTGACGAATCTCCAAGTGGCCCATCTAATTGTGCTATATTATTCTATTTATAAAAAAATAAAAGAAATAACTAACTTTTTCTATTTACATTTTTTTTTAATTAAATGAATAATTGTTGCATATTTTGCTTGCATATTCATTGGAGAACTAATTAACAAACTTTTTACACGTAACGTTTTACATAATCTTTTTAAATATGAAATAAAGATATACAGATATACTTTTCAATATTTTTATTACCTGATTTTGAACAGGCCGTTGGGAGACATTGTTTGCACTTTGTGTAACAACTTGAAGAGACTGATTAACTTGGAGTGGAGCCAATGTTGTTTGTCCCTAAAAAATGCGAAGTTAATATATTGTTAAAATAATGAAATTTGATTTATTATTATATATTTCGATTAATTACTTGATTTTGGACAGATCTTTGAGAAACATTATTTGTACTCTGTGTAACAACTTGAAGTGGAGCCAATGTTGCTTGACCCTGAAGTGTGGAATTAACATGTTGCTGGAGTAATGTGGAAGCTAAATTTGCTGGTAATCCCATTGCAGCTGTAATAACTGGTCCTGTTAAAATTGTATGTAATTGGTTACCTAAAAATAAATTAATTAATTGTAAATATGTGATTTTTATTTTCCTGCTGTCGATATATGTCAATTATCATGTAAAAACAATTTTAACTTACCTTGAATTGCAGATGCAGGAACCTGAATGGTTAAAACTCTTAATGGAGCATCAGGAACGCCTGTCTGTGGTGGTAATGTTATTTGAATAGGTACTTGCCGATCCATTACTGCTGATGTTGATGTTACTAATTGCTGTACTGGTGTACCAGTGTGTTGTATACCAGTTGTTGTTGAGTGACATTGTGTCTGAGTTTGCTGAGGAGATTGCTGCTGTTGTGATTGTTGTTGCTGTTGTTGGGATGCTTGTTGAGAAACAGAATTTCCTCCTGTTTGTTGTACAAAATGATTTCCTATATTTCCTCCTAGAAATGCATTAAATTTGCTGAAAAAGTAACTTTTAACAAAAATCAAAAATTGTGAATTTTCTAAATTATTAATAACAAATCAATTTGTTATAATTATTATGACTTTACTTGATAGGTTTTTCTCTCTTACAAAAATTGTTTAAATTATTTTTCACATAAATTACTGTTTTATAAAAGAAAATGTAGATTTTACCTTTGTTAACAGGCACAGCTTTGTGCGTATTTATTTGGGGAACTTGAGGCTCTGGAGGATCTGGATTAAGTTCAACAGCTTTACTAGACATTAGTTTGGTTTCCCATATTTGTTTGAGTTCTTGTAATACTTGTTCATCTACACCTTCGTCTATAAATGATTCCCTTACACCTGATATAACATCCTCTATCACAGTATTATACAGTTTCAGCTGTAATTAATATGGATGTTGTTATCAATTAATGTTCTTAAAATTCATATTACTTTATTTTTTACTTTATATCTCAATCTTGTATTGAAGTCTAGTTTGAAATATGTCAATCTAAAATATATTAATATAATTTATATATATATATATAAAATTAGAGATTAAGATTAATCATGAATTAAAATATTATCATTATAATACAAATAATATCATTCATAAAATTCCATGAAATTCCAAGGTTCTATTTATGAATGAATTATTTGCTACTATTACCTACATTTCTGCGTTTTGTTCAAGGAAATTTAGAAAATATACTTTACTTATAAAGTATACGAAAATCATTGTCTAATGCGATTCAATGGCACAAAAAAACATAAAAAAACGCTGAAACCAATATCAAAATATTATCATCTTAACCTACAACAATCTAAAAAAATTTTTAGAGAAACTTGTCTGAAAGAGCCATTGCAATAAATCTAAATTCTCATTGATAACGTTTTAAAACTTTAATGTTATACCAGCAAAAAATTTGCAATTATCAAAAAATTACAAAGCAATTTGATTTGAAAAAGAATAATTAACGAAGAGAATAATTTTTGGTTGGAGCAAAAGGGATCAAAGATGAGGATAACAATGACAATGATGTTAACATAAAGTGATAAAACCGTCATTGTCGTCATCGTGATGATTACAATTAACTGTTTTCTTTTTTTTTAATCAGTCATTGTTTTTATTCATATTTACTCACCACACTTGTCTGACTGAGGGCCATTGCGAGGATAATTCGTATTGTCTAATAAGAAAAAACAATAAGAACAATCCAACGAATAAATCAGCCCTAGTTCAGAAGCCAATCCGCGGTAGCATCGCTCTTTTATATACTGTGGACACGTCTCCCATTCCACCTAACTCTAACATGAATTCAGAACAGTATCTTACGAAAAATCAGTGCATCCAATATCCACAAATTAAATACCTATAAATTTAAGAAAAGTTACTTATATACATAACAATGATAATGAAAATTAAATTAATGAATTTAACTTTCCTTCATTAATTTTAATTTTATCTCATTTCACAGTGAAAGTTATTTTTTTATTACAATTGACTTTAAACTTGAATCACGATGAGCAAATGGCAACGTTCAAGTCGGGAATCTTTCACGTTATGATAGAATATATAGGGAAATTGTAATTAACGTTTCACTGAATGTCTATACTATTTATATATATATGTGTGTGTTTTTTTAAAATACTTTCATATGAATTATATATAAATATGTATATAAATTACAGTAAATAAATTTAAGAAACGTACAAATGTTTTAAATAAGAAAATGAATAAATCTCAGGTATGACGTGATATTTATATTTCAGGTAATTTGCAACAAAATACACATTTAAAAATGACAAGAAGAAAATCACTAACACTAAGTGAAAGAAATTAACATAACATACAAGTAAACATAAGTAAAAAATAACTTAATAAAAATTCTCGAGAGGAATTTTTAAAGTCAATCAGGTCACTAAAATAACATCAAAAAAAAGTACAATTTTTGTAGTCAGAAATAAAACTTTTTATATTTCATTTAAAAATTTCTTCACACTACTCTAGAAATATTGTTTTAATTTTTAATAACAATATTTGTGGAAAGACTACAATTCCTCATTTTTAAAAATAGAAAAACTAAATATAATCTTCAATTATATAAAAAACTAAATATAATCTTTAATTTGAGATATTGTGTTGTAATTTTCCGTATAATTAACAATGATGTGATATCAATTTATAAAACCTTAAGATTAAAATATTATGCAATGTAATATGTTGTAAAAAATCTGAAATAAAAGATAATAGTATTTGTAAGTTTCAATCTTGCATCCTATAAAAGACAGTATGTTGTATCCATAGTAAAAAATTAATATAATACATAGTATAAAACTTATTTAATAAATCTGTTATTGCTCTATCATTTTTTACATTTGTATGGTTTTATTGCATTGTTACTTAATACCAATTTACTATGTGACAGTATATATTGTTGTAAATAAACATTTCATAAAATTATAGAAGATCCATGGATCTAATGATAAATATAGATATTATATATTTATTATAAAATAAATTGAAAAATATAATGAATTAACAAGTAGAAAAGAAACATAATAGGTTTAATTTAAATTTTTTTTTATCTTTCTAATTATTTTATCTTTCTTATAGATAAAAGTATGCAAAAATTAAAATAATATCTGTACAAGCATTAATTATTCAGTATTATTAGAAATATAAAAGAAATAATAGTATTAATTATTCAGTGTTATAAAAAATAATTTCCTATTAGTACTAAAAAAATAAAAATATTGATAGGTTTACTAAAAATTCATCATAAAGCATGGTTCTATTTATTAGAGCTAGCCTATACAAATTCACGATTCTTTATTAATAATAACAAATGACAGGATTAAATCAACTTTTTACAATCTTTCACTTATTCTCTCATACACTCTCTCCCTCACACTCTTTTTTCATATACATAGTTATGCTATTAAAGAATTCGAAAAGTTTGCTGTTTCCATGAATCAAACATTCTAAAATAATAAAACATTTGTTTCCAGTGATTTTAAATCTGATTTACAGATCAAAATTTTTACGATTATCTTGAACAGCAAGCAAATTTCTTATGAATAATTCAGTGTTTAGTAGAGAATGTATTACAAATTCATTGAATAACGAATATCTTAAATAATAATATATACATTATTAATCTAGAGATAAGAATCTTGGAAATTTAAAATTATACCGGTAATTTATCATTTTTTAAACCCTTTAATGATTGTTGAGTAAATCGACTTCAGAATTATTTCATTAGCCAATCTTTAATCATAATATAGTCATTTTAATGGAGAAAGGATCATAGTTTTAATATTTTCTCGTATAAATTTGACTTAGTAAATTTTTAATTTCGAATTCTAATTGAATGCACAAAGTTTATTGTTTAATTAATTTTTGTAGTTTGTTTAATAAATTGTACTTCTGCACATCGTATCGTTCCATATATGAAAAATATATGAAATAAATAAAATTATTATAAATTTTTTACTTAAATATATATTTCCATTTTGCCAATAATAGTAAAGATTATTAAAAATATTATGTTATAGCGAAACTTCTTTCAGTCCCTTCCGATTGGCCAAAAATGAAATAAAATTCTATATATAATGCATTGGAACTATTGAAGACAATATTTCATGATGATGAGGACAGACTTTCAAGATCAATATCAGAAAGAAAAATATCAGAGGAATCAGGAGATCTGCTGTAGTGTGTCATATTGTCTCCAGAATCATCTCCATCAGCTGAATCATCTTCATCATCGTCATCATCGTCATCATTATTCTCACGATTATTTCGTTCGTTTTCATCACCATTTCCTTCTGCTGCTGCATCTGGATTATCTGCATCTATTTAAAAATGAAATAAAAATAAATTTAAAGATTGTTGAAGATATATATCTAACACGTTAATATCTAACGGAAAGAAGATTAATAGATAAATTATTATGAGCCTTACATACCGTCAGCATTATTATCATCAGAACTAGAATTCGAACCATCATCATCACTTGCATCAAGATCTTCTTCATCATCATCTTCATCTGTTTCATCTTTATCGCCTTTTCTTCTACCGACATCGTACAACCTTACACTGGATTCATGATTATCATCAAATTCATTAAGTATTTCCACTACTGCTATCTGTGTATCAAATTTATTGCAAGCCAATCCATAAACTCCTCTTCTAACATCGTAAGTGGCTGTAATCATTTAATTATAACTTAATTATAATTTAATATAACTCAATATATAAACTTAATTGTAATATAAATATAACTCTCGGTATAAATTATATAACAATTATACAATAAATTGTATAATTCTCATTTAATTATTATAAATTGGATTAATTCGAAATATGCAATAAAAATTAAAAGTTATCTAATAGATCTATATAATTAGCATATCTTACCAATATTGCTGTAGTCCAAAGCATCTAATGTCTTAAATGAAGTAATATAATTGGTTTCATCTATATTTTCTTTCTCCAATGACACAGCATATATAATATTATTAACAGGAGAAAAAATTACTTCCATTTGATCAAGTGTTGGCACTGTTTTCAGCAAATGAAAAGTTCTTAAATCCCAAACTTCCGTGTTCGATACTACTTCTATACCTGTCAAGATATTATTATATTATTTTACATTAACAAACTGTATTCCATTTATTTATTATTAAATTATAAGCTATCGATGTTAATACCATTGGGATGAAAAACTCCATTAAGTGTTTGATTTAATTTGTCAAATTTGTGAATTTGTTTTCCTGAATTTGCATCCCACAAAATTCCATCATGTAGAACCAACTCATCATTCATACTGAAAGTAGCACGGTTCATAGTATATCGATTGGAAATTGAAGGAGCAAAACTAGTTAATAATTGCCCAGTAGCTATGTCATAAATCTAAAAGAAAAAAAAAATGATAAAAATAATTAGATATAGATGGAAACGTTTATATGACGACAATTGTGTCAATGAAAAAGAATACATACTGTTGCAATATCGCTGTCAGTCCCTATAATTCTGTCTTGAAGTTTTCCAAATTCAACATATTCTACATTTTCTAAAGATAATTTTAAATCAAAAAATGTTCCTATACTCCAAAGTACAGACATAGGACTTCTCCATGGGGTAGAAGTTAATAACAAATTTCCACGTTGGTTGCATTCCATGTGATAAACGTAAGATTCGTGACATGAATATGTCGCTTCCTCTAATCCTGTATGTATATTATACATTTTTACATCTCCTGCGTAAGTACCTAACATTAAATATTGTTGACAAGGCTGTAAAAATAATACGATATTTTGAATTAGAATATATGTTTCACATTTTACAAATATATGATCATGAATTTTTTAATACTAATAAAATAAAGATAACATTACTGAAAAGATACAATAGGTGAAGGTTGCAACATCCGTAGGCCGGAAAGTTTTTACAGGACAAAATCGGCTATAAATAAGTCTTCGATCCAATCTTCTACCATCCATGCCTAATGCTCTTCTAGCCAGTCTTACTGTTACATTTGTTGGTGTTGAATTCTTTGTACAAGGATCTGGACACTTATGTGGTCTGAAATTAAATAAAATTATTTTATGACAATATCGTAAGAATCAATTGAAAAATTCCATTTAAAGCACTTAGATAAATTAATTTAATAAATACGTACTCAAATAGATTAAATTGTGGGCAAGTAACCATAGGATTTTTACATAATGCATGTTGATTAGTTAAATATTCCGTTATAATAGAATCTAGTGTTATAGTAGATGGATTCGATGTAGCTACCCCAGGTCCTCCACCACCTGCAGGATCTCTCGAAATTTGCTTCTGTAGTGATCGACACACTGTTGGCTGATTGATTGAATGACAATTTATTTGATTGACTAGAGGTTGTTTATCGGCTTGGTTTTTTCTAAAATTATTTAAATACCTTATTTAATTTATCTTATTATTTATAATTTTTAAATAATAAAAAATTATATAACAAACTTACTTTTGATTAATTTGTAGTTTTATTAGTTGATTTGTATTATTTGGAATAACATTTTGATTGAGGCAGTCAGAATGTTTCATACGTATATTATTTCCAGAAGACAATGACGATGAAGTGGAACTATTGTTTGAGTGAGATATGTATCTAAACGATGAAGTAGGAGTAGTATTGTTTCGAGAAGTAACTTCTCTTTGATTGCATCTGTTCGTATTGTACAAATTCACTGTGGCGCTAGGAGAAAATCCATTTCTTGTCTAAACAAAAAAAATATATTTAAATTTCAATACTTTCTTTCATATTATATCTATCCAACGAATTTAAAAACAAAAGTTGCTCAATTTTTATAAATATAAAACTTA